CACTCCCGCCCGGAAATATTACAGGAGCGAGAAACAGAGGGCGAAACCTCACCCCGTCAGTTTCACGGGAGCGAGAAGGAAGGGGTTAAAAATTTTCATTGTACTTGCTGTATTCTAAAAAGATAAAACATTAATAAAGTGAAGATGTTTTATTTACTAAACTAATTGTTTCAAATTTGTTGTTTTAATGTTCACTTGATTTTTTAAGGGTAAGATCAATTTTTACTTTTCAGTTTTGTATAAACTCTTCTTTTTTTTTAATATAACCTGTCGAATTAAATTGACTAGCAGATTTTTTTTTCCTCTGTTACTCTCCCACTATGTCATGGTAACCCACTGTTAAAATTTCTAAAGAAAATTACGGAATAAAGTACCAGCACTTTGGGTACATAATCCGTAAAATAAATCTTAAAATAAAATTTTGTAGCGTAATTTTTACAGTGATATTTTTATATAATTCGAGTGATTCAGTGATATTATTGTAATTGCTAGTGTAAAAATAACAATATATCAGATTTTTTTTTTATCAGTAGCATGTTCCGGGAAAAATGGATTTTACGGTAAAAAGTACCAGCATTCTGAGTACCGGTACTTTTTACCGTTACTTTATCCACAATTTTTTACATAGCAGAGTTAAACAAAGAGTAACATATGGGAAGAGAAGACTCCCGTAAATTTATTTAAAATTGTTTTTATAAGTATTTCACATTTATTAAACAGAAATAAAATGCACAATTTTTTACTACTCTTAACTAAAAATTATTAAAAAATCTGTACTAAACCAATGTTAAGAATTTTACTAACTAGATCATATATTTGCATTTAGTTAGAGATTATGAGATATCATCATTAAGCAAGGACTTTTTAAATTATTGCAAATCAGCATTTTGACTCCACTTATTAGTGATGTAATAAAAACATTTTCAATTTTATTTCATAAGAATACAAATCAAATTATGCTACTTTGAAATATTTTTTTCTCTCTATCTCAGGAACTTTAGGTTATCGATGTAAATTTTGTTTTGTTCTATATTTGCAAATTACTAATTTTTCTGATTAAATTTCGTTAATTTAAATCTTAATATTTGACAGTATTGTAAGGAATAAGTCTTACAACTTTAATTTATGAAATTTTTATTTAGTATTTCATTGCTTATTAAGATTATTAAGAGAAATATAAGTAGGTACAAAAATTCAGTAATTTGCATTACAAATACTTTAAAAATTTAGCTCCACTGAAAGCCTTACCCCCTGATATTTTTTTAAAATTTTGTTACCAACTATATATAAAGGTTTTTTCCCCTATGTAATTTCACAAAAAGCAATTTCAGTGATTTACAGTACTTTTAATTTGAAAAAAGCGTATGTTATCAAACATTTCGAATATACGGTAGAAAATTTAATAAATTTTTCCATAATAGTAACAAAGATGAAATAGTTTTATCTTTCAAAGTAATAACAATAATAATATTGAAAAACAATTAATGTTACATGTTAGTAACGTAATGTTAAGTGCTTAAAAATGCGAAGTTTTCGGTTTCAGGTTTATTATATTTTTATATAAACATTTTTGAACTTTGGTAACAGAAGGGGAAATACACTGTAAAAAATCCGCAACAGATAAGTGTAAAAGGAATCCGCTGTCAGGGTCCCGGAACATTTATACCTAAACATGTTACATTTGCATTCTGTTGTGAACATTCGTATTCTTGGTCATGGATTGCGCCTCTCCAGCACAAGAAACGCACCATCGGCCTTAAATACGCTTGCAGGCTTGCTTGCATTAGCAAGTGACATTAGAAATAACACAACATTCCCTTCAACACATGAAGAGTTTCCAGTTACCCACACTCCCCAATACGTGACCATGCTGCTCAGGCACTATCGGTTCAAAAACAAAATTGGTGTAATTAATCTTATCATATTTTTGTTTTTATTTTTAAATTTTATCTACATTTTTAAATTACGTTTGTAAGCGAAACTATAACAAAGATTAGATGTGTATTTATTCTGATGAAAAAGTTATTAAAAAAAATAGTAGGAAAATATTATAGTTCTGCTGTATTTTTATTTTAATGAAAACGTGAGATATCACACTTATTACCCTCTTACTTTACCTTGTCTCAACTAAGTATCACAATTTAACGAACCTTCTCCCTAACGTTTAAAACTGACATCATTTAAGGACCAATCCTTTGTTCATACCTTATTCTATTTGTATTCATATTTTTAGATTAGCTCATACCTTATCTATATATTATTTTGTACCTTTATGGCCTCTCATTTGTTTCATATATTATTTGTGTATTACTTCTCATCTCACGAACCTTCTCCGTCCCTTTTAAAACTAACATCGTTCATGGTCATTTCTTAGTTCATAACTTATTCTATTAATATTCGCATTTTTATATTTGCTCATACCTTATCTATATATTATTTAGTATTTTTGTGTCCTCTTGTTTCATATATTATTTGTGCATTACTTCTTATCTCACGTGTTCTTTAGCATACTACTAATTTCTGTGTAATATTGTTTACATAAGTGCAATTGAGGCTCATTTGTTGCCCATGGGAAAAAAACAAATTCTTTTATTTTCCCGGGACTACGCTAGAATTTTATTTAGAAATGAATTTTATATGTTTTAAGTACGATAATTTTTTTCTTAGAATATATAACAAAAATTCATAAATTTTTGGTAATTTCCATGCATTTCTAATAATAACCAGATTATCCGGTATAATATGTTGACAATTAAGTGTAGATCCTTGTCCAGTATTCCCTACGTTGATGTTGTTGTTTTTTTAATTGTAGCAGAAAAGAATAAAAGGCAAGTTAGAGAACATCAGGAACAAATCAAACTTTTAACTAATTATAAATCATATTGCTTCAAAACATTTATTCATATTTTTTCAGAAATAAAATTAACATATTTCATAAGCATCGAAAACAGGTATAATCACATTCTAGCCAGATAGTGACCATAAACGCCTATATCATATTTCATCTCTCAACCCACTAGATTGCCAAATTGTGGCAAAACTTCTCAGATATGCAATTTTTACAGACTATTGAAGGCATTAGATGGTAAAAGATCATCGTTCGGTATTTCTAACATTGATTTTTTTTTAAGGTTAATACTATGACCCCCTCCCCCCAAAGAAAAAAAAATAAAAATATATATATATATATATATGATAAATGAAGAAAAAAANGCTGCAAGTAAACAGAACTCATTAGATAAGTATATAATGAAGATAAAAACAAGGAAAAATTATAGACGTAAGAAAAAAAGTTGGGGGGGGGAAATAATAATTAAAAAAATAACAAACAACTGATTACAAAAAAAAAGATTGAAATTTTATTTAAAAAACCGGAAGAAAAAGAAAGATATAATCTTTTCATCAGCCCACACGATTAAATCCGCAAGAAAGAGTGCTTTCTGATAATGTATCAATATAGCCAAAGCAAAATATATTAATACAATAGTGTGAGGAGCACTCAAAAAAATTTTTTTACGAAAATTACAGCAAAAAAAATAAATTACAATAAGTAAAAATAGCACGTAAAAACAGAAAATAAAATAAATTGGTACAGCGTTATTTGTTGCAGTGTTATTTCATCGTTGTTATTCACTGGAAGAGCAGTCACATTAGTATTTTCAACTCGAAATACTAAAATTTCACTGCCATTATTCACATACTTGCAAATATATTTGATGCTCTCCTTTTAAGGGCGAGCATAAGTGTTGGAGTTTAATATGACTTGTTGCAACGTGCGTGAATATTGTTTTGGAATTATTATGTTTCTATGTCTAGTTTGGATTCGAATACGATTAAAAAAAGATATATTTAAAATATACGTTAAATCTGTCTAAAAAAGGAAAAAATTTAGTTATAAACTTATTCTCAGACCTACTGAATATATANATATATATATATATATATATATATATATATATATATATATATATATATATATATATATATATATATATATATATATATATATATATATATATATATATATATATATATATATATATATATATATATATATATATATATATATATATATATATATATATATATATATATATATATATATATATATATATATATATATATATATATATATATATATATATATATATATATATATATATATATATATATATATATATATATATATATATATATATATATATATATATATATATATATATATATATATATATATATATATATATATATATATATATATATATATATATATATATATATATATATATATATATATATATATATATATATATATATATATATATATATATATATATATATATATATATATATATATATATATATATATATATATATATATATATATATATATATATATATATATATATATATATATATATATATATATATATATATATATATATATATATATATATATATATATATATATATATATATATATATATATATATATATATATATATATATATATATATATATATATATATATATATATATATATATATATATATATATATATATATATATATATATATATATATATATATATATATATATATATATATATATATATATATATATATATATATATATATATATATATATATATATATATATATATATATATATATATATATATATATATATATATATATATATATATATATATATATATATATATATATATATATATATATATATATATATATATATATATATATATATATATATATATTTGTACATTGTAAGGAACCATACTAATTTATGTTTTAGTAACTTTCCTTTAAAATGATATTATACCGGATGAAATTGTTGTTTTCTATCATTTGCGTAGCTATTTTTGTGTTAATTATCGTGATATTGTTTTCAAGTAGAATACGTCTACTAAGTAATCTATTAATTATTAAATAATCTATTACATAATCCATTACCCTATTAAATAATACATATTTTTATAGGTGTCCGGGAACACAGTAAAGGAAATACAGTTGTATAATAAAGAAATACTGGAATTCAGGAAAAACGGAGGACCTTGCTACGACAGAGAAGTACTTAACAGAATTCGATTTATTTATCCGCTAATGAGAGATGAAATGACCATTCGCAGCGATTACTACGATGAAATAGAAAGAAACTTCGCTAATATACCTACAACAACCACAAACCAGTTTTTACTAAACATTAATACATATTGCAGAAATCTAACGGAACTCATAAAGGTGTTCAGAACGGCAAGTCAAAAACTAGATAATATTTCTATGATAGCTGAATTTGTCAATTTACTTAGTTCATTGGCAAGTTTAGCTAAAAACATCGATATAATTTTTAATAATGAGATATCCAGCAATTTGACAAACCAGGCCTATGACACAAACCCAGTTTTGGGTATAATTTCTCAGGGGCTTTGGAATTGTGTTCCACAATCTATATATGTGAAATTCTTTACATCTATTGGAGAAAGTTTGGGTACGATATGGATTTTGCGAACACTTTCAAAACCCAGCGATAGGTGTAAAGAATCTATGGAAGAAATTAAGAATTATTTTAATAAATCGGAAGAAATGAATGAAGAGGTGAAGTCCCTTTTCTTTGGTGAATGGGATGACAAACTGGTGGCTTCTATTGAAAAGGCTTTGTCTGAGGAGGATATAGGAGTTAAAATGTTCGCATTTTTGTACGTTTCAGCATTAATCGTCAGTCCCTTCATGCTTCAAAGATTTGACTTTTTGAAAAAGATTTTTATATTTAGTACAAGCACATTAGGACAGAAATGGTACAAAAGGTAAGAAATAATGGATTTAAGGTCAAAACTTAGCTGTCAAATCTCCGTTGGACAAAACTTTGTGGCTAAAGCTTCAATAATTCATAAATTTATGGGAATAAAACTTCGTCGAACCATAACTTCGGGTGCTAAACTTCACCAATCCATAAGTTCGCGAGTACGTAACTTCGCCGACCCATAACTTCGCGGGGACAAAACTTCGCTGATCTAAAACTTAAACATTTTTTCAACTCCCTTCTGTATAATAGTTCTTTAACAAAAATTCATTAAGCAACTAGCTGTACCCTGCATGCGTTGCAACTCTTTCAGTTATAATTGTAATTTTGTATTTAAGTGTGTAAATAAGATTTGCGATTATGATTTGAAATGAGAATTTTATTTAATGGTGATAAAAAACGGTGATAGTCTCAGCAGTTAAATCTCTAGGGTATCGTTTGTGCATTATCAAACAGACATGTATGGTGATGCACACGGACCATGAAACATATTTTGGAAGATGATCTGAAATAAGTCTGAATCAATGGCGACATCAGGTATTTCTGCTGATCTGAGATGAACAATTTGGCATGGGGGGATTTTTTCAATAAGCCAAATCGTGTGGCAATCCTCTTTTTTGCCATTCAATAGAATACATCAAACACCGTGACTCTTCAAAAACATGACACTTCACAATGAGATCAAGTATAGAGCTCAATTTTTGTTTTAACTTACGAGCGGTAATATCATGAAGATCCGATGATGTTTTCCTATGTAACAAAAGCTCTTTAGTTTCAGTCCAAGCAGACTTGCATGTGAATGTAATAAATAAATCTGGCTGTCTATATGCCATAGCACCGAATGAAGTCATTTGGAAACACGAATTGTATCGATATATAGTATTTGCCAAATAAATTTTCAATTGCTGACCCGATAACAACGTTGATAATGGCTCGGTTGGCGATGTTAAATCTGTTAGTTTCACTTTTCCACCAAAACAGCAAATTCCAACTGTTTCATTCTTAAATTTGAGAGCACTAAAAACACTCATAAATGATCCATTTTTCCTATGAAGACTTAGATAAAGAATATAATTAGTTATTGGATCATAGTGCAATACACTAAGATTTAAACCAGCATATTGGCGGCGTTTGAATAGAGAAGTGAGTTTTCTATTCTTACTTCGCTTTGTTTTTTGACGTTTCTGATAAACGGGCTTGAGCAACGTATTTTAAATTGGTAACCTGTCTTGCTTGCCGTTGCTCAGATATGTCAGAGGAATGGGCTTGAGAGGTATGTAGTCGATCGATAACCAGTCTTGCTTCCATTTTCACAGATGTTTCAGATTTTGCATTTAATTATGGTCAGAAATGTATTTAACTGTTGAAAAATTATTTGGCATGGCTCGTTATAATCAGGTTTATTCAAGTGCTTTTGAATAAACAATGTTTTTTTTTTTACCGTTTGGAGCGTACAATAATAAATTAGAAGGTCTTCCGACACGTGAGTTTTCACATAGAGTTGCCAGATAGAGCTGTCCGTGGGAGAAGCATAGATTTTTCAAATTCAGATCACATACTTGTAGTGACTGTCCTTCGGCGTTGTTGATGGTCATGGCAAAAGCAAGTCGCACCGGAAACTGCAAACTTTTAAATTCAAATGGCATATCTGTGAGGATCATTGGAGTGCACGGTAGCAGAACATCTTCTCTTTTAAATTTGCCATTTAGAATTTCAGCTTCGAAGATATCGGTCATTTTTCTTTTCACTGAAAGACCCGTACAGTTACAAAATCTGGGTAGGTTGATGTTTCGGAGGAGAATGATACGTACTCCAGTTTTCAATGTTAAAACGTGCGGCGGCATACCAGGCAAGTCAAGTGAATTCAGAAATTCAGCTCGGAAGCTTAAAACCTCGTTTTGATCTATCACAGTTTCGATGGATTTATATGTTCTGGAATTTTATTTAGAATGTGATTATTGATGTCATGTACATCGCTATTTTTTGCTGCTAATACAGCACGTTCGCTGAGCCACTGAAGATTTTTGTAATCTTGCGCGATATTTAGAAAAACATTGTGAAAAAGTTCAATTGTATTTTCCTTTGTGGTGGTCTGCAGGTGTTTTGTCAGTTCTAATAACAACTTTGTAATTATCGGATGGCATTTTGTCAAGGTCAGTTCTGAACAGCCTAATTAACTGACTATGCTGATCGAAAAAATTTTGTAATGTGGCAACAATTTCTTGCTTAGTGCAATTGTTTAACTGACAACATTGATTGACTTAATCATTTGTGTTATCCATGAAATAAATCTTTAGAAATTTATGATCTGCTCCAGGCAATGGCAGAAGTGATCCTGCAAGATGATAAATTTGTCCTTGCACTTTGAATGCTGGCATATAATTCTCGTTCACGATACGTGTAGCATCGAATGAAGTCATTTGGAAACACGAATTGTATTCGCCAAAAATTTTTTCGATTGGTTTGTTTGACCTGTTGATAATGGCTCGGCTGGCGACGTTAAATCTGGTAGCGTCACTTTTCTTCCAGAGCAGCGAATTCCAGCTGCTTCAAAGAAAAACGGGTTTGAGTATGACATTGACAATTTGCCGTTTTACGCAGCATTTAACTTTACTTTAATTAGAGTAGTGAGTAGTTGATTTGTTAACAGTCTTCTTTCCTGTTGCTCAGATGTTTCTAAGGAACGGGCTAAAGCATTCTGTTCTCGATTAGTTTCAAGTCTTTTTCCGGTTGCTCCGAGATGTTTCTTAAACACTCTTTTTGCGTGCTTGAGATGTTGATCTACTAAGAGCGATTCGCTTAGGCTGCATATTTTTGCAAATATTCTCTCTCAAAAACAAAAAAAAATGTAAAAGTTGACAGTGGTAAATGTAAAGTTGGTTGTTCTTAGGCCCCATGTTTTGAAATAACATAGTAAGATTAATTTTGAAATAATTTACATCGGAATTTTTTTTTTATATTATTTAAATTCAAAATATTTCAAATCATTTTATTTTACAACTTTATTGCGTTGACAATTTGCCATTTTACGCAGCATTTAACTTTACTTTAATTTAACATTGCGGCCTAAGACGTTTACATTCCGCAGAAAACAGCAGAGTTTCTTGAAATGATTCAGGTAAATCTATGTAGTTTATGTTATTAATGATTTCAAGAAGACGGGAAAATGACAACATAAAAACCTACTCACCTTGTAAAATTTTTTGAAATAGATTTTGAACCAGAAAGTTGGTTCTTTATCCTGAAATAAGACATGTTCTGATAGGATGGTATTCTAAAAAATCTCTTAACCTAAGATATTAATTGCTGGCTTATAAATTAGTATTAATTGCTTATAAATTAGTAAAAAAAAGTGGCCAGGTAAATGACTGATTTTCATGTGACAAACAAATTACTGACAGAAAAAATTATTTTCAACAAAGATTTTGTAAATGATACCCTCTTCATGTATTCTAGAAATGCTTACAATGGTTGAGATAAAAAAAATTAGATATTGAAAAATTCATGGAAAGTTTTGAACCTAGTTATTATTGGAAATATTGTTTGTGACTAGCCAGGAAAATAACATTTTGAAATTCAATTAAATTTTTTAAATATACAAAATAGTCAATGTTAATGCAAAGTCATTTTAAAATGCTAACAGCAAAGCAATTTATTATTTTTTTTAAGTTCTTTTAGTAGTATAGTATTTAATCTTGGAGCAAAAGACTGTCAATTGTCGTATTTTGTGAGAATCACCCATATACGAGTGCAACTTGTCTGCTCTTAGTTTGAGGCGAGAGGAAGTAAAGTTCTGGAATTCAATTCAATAAATATATCTTTATTTTAACATGTTTTTTCCCTCTTAGGACTGAACAAATATTTATTTATTTACTTTTTTTTCGTTTTGCTACGCTTTATTTTATACTTTACTTTAAATTTTACTTTATACTTCACACTCTACTTTACAATTTGCTTTATATATTACTTGATACTTCACACCTTACATAATATTTCACGTCTTACATAATTCTTCACGCTATACAACTATTTACATTTCATTTTATGTTTTGCTCTGTACCTAATATTCTATTTTTTACTTTATTTTATGCTTCACTTTACTTTTCACTGTACTCCATTATACTAAACTTTTTATTTTGCATTTTACTTTAAGCTTTACTTCCCTCTATTCCCTGTTCCTTCATTTTTTCACTTTATTTTACTAATTATACTCTTTGCGCTTTAATTTAGTTAACATTTTACGCTTAACAATTTTTTATATTCTAAGCTCTACTTCAAACTTTACGCTTCCCTTTATCTTTACTTTACTTTACTCTATACATGACTCTATAATTTGCGCTTTATTTTATTTTAAGCTTTAGGCTTTACTTTACTTTACATTTTACTTGATTTTACTATTTACTTTTAACTTCATTTTACTTCACGTTTTATTTTACTTTACGCTTAATTTTATGCAACGCGCTTTACTTTGCTTTACGGTTTACTTTTGATTTTACTTTATTTTTTTATTTCACACACTCTTTACTTTATATAATATTTTATGTTTTACTTATGCTTCAACTTAACACAGCTCATCACCAACGTTGGCTTTAAGTTCGAAGCATTGAATCAGTAATCCAGTTAAATAATATAAATCAGTTATTAACAATCTATAACGATAACACTTCTGTATAATAGTTTAACTGAGAAAAGATTTTCATTTCCCTTAAAACTTTTATATTTTTAAAACATTTCGACATAAATATTGTACATATGTCCATCGACATATTTGACCTCATATCGAGTTTTACTGTCAGTACTAAATTTACAAAGATAAAATGTAAATGGGAAAAAATAAAGCGTAATTTTTCTAAAGACTTGACGAATATAAGAGGAAAAAGAATAGAATAAAATAATTAAGAAAAATCAAAACCAATTCCACGGTTTTGCATAAAAAGACAAGAAATGAAATATTAAGTTTAACTTATATTAGTTGTTATTGTCTCAGTTAATTTTTTATCTGTTACATTCATTTTATATAAATTTTGCCTTCAAATGTCGGTGAATTTTGAATAAACCACAGGCATTTTATCCGCGTCCTTTAAAAATCTCTCTAAATTTAAAAAAAAAATCGTAAGCCCCACCGCAACCACTGTTTTGAGGGTTCAACTTAACGTTACATTTTGTTAATTACAATAAATTTCGAACAAATTAGAGTTTAAAAGAAACTCGTATTAAATTTATAATCTAAAATGGCTCTTTCAGCATGTCAAATTTCAACTCTGCAGTTGCATTTCAAGCAGCAATAAATCAGTCCACATATTTTTTTCTACAAGTTTAACAGTGGGTAATTTCCGAACAACTACTAATCAAGTGTTATTTTATGTTACGTTAAGGGCAACATCCAAAACATTTGCAGCCCTTGCTTTTTTTAATATAGGCAGTGAAAGTCAATTAAGACTCAAATAAATGCAATAACTACATCACATTTATAAAACACCACATTTAGATTAAACAAATACCTCTAAATTCTCGCCAGTTCGATAACTTCCATTTTCACTCTATTTGGTTAAAGATTATTTTAATATCTGTGTAGTTGTTTATTAGGTGATACACAGTAATTTTTAAAGAAGTTTCTAATTGATGTGAAACCATTTCGTGAAAAAAATTATTTCACGAAATGGTTTCACATCGATTTCCTACCTATAAAGTTAGCTTTGAAAAAAATAGGTTTGACCAAATTTTGAACCTAACATATACTAATTGGCTTGAAGTATCCTCGCATCCAGGGGTACGGATTTGTGTTATAAGGCATCTATTACTATGTTGTTTTCTCTTTTGCATCGAGGACAACGTGCACACATCTGGGAAAATATTCCACCAGTTTTTGATACGTAGCCGTAGGTATTGACTTCCAAGCATTCATTGCTAACTTCATATTATGCTTTCAAATTCATCCCAAGGATGTTCTGTGGGAATTTGATTGAGACTCAATTTTAATCAATACCTGGACTTCTAGTCAGTCCAGTTTCTGAATATCCACTTTGTCAAATCATCTTGACGTGTGAATAGAGAAGTTATACTGCTGAATAAGAAATTGACTTCCCTCGAAGTATTTCAATTGAGTTGGAAGAGCAGTTTTATCCAGAATTCTCATATATATGTTTTCAACCACAGAAATTAAGGGAATTAAGCCAAATCTTAAAACAACAGAACCACTTCTAGGTGATTGCCGGGTACTTTTGATCCTCATTATGTATAAAAACCAGAAAAGTGGACATTCTTTAAAACTTGACTAGTTTTCCTCATTCATTTTTTGTTAACTGGGAAAAGAATTAATGCACTTATATCAAATTGAACAAAATGTATGAATAACCAACATAAGGATAATTAACAAATGCTTTATGGATTACATTATAATAAAACAGTGCGATTTTTTCTTAATTCAAAAAAGTATAATTTTACTAAAACATTCCCATTAAGTAAGCACTGTAGAAACATATAATATTTGTAGACAAAAATGCAAGAAAACTGAATTATTATTTTAAAAAAAAGTCTTCTGGATATTTTATCTGTCTTAAAATGAAAATATCTGGATTACTGCCTCTAATTTACATAAGAGTAAAATTAACTGCGAGGTATTCCAAATGTCTTGTTCTTAATGTAGAGTTTTTAAATCCGTGTCAAGAAATAATCATGTAGATATTTATTCTACAGAGGTTTAAAAATAGCATGTTAAATTCCAATTGATATTCCCTTTTTTCTCTCCTCGATAAACGTGAAAACTTTATCGCTTGGAAGACTCTATCGACTAATTTTGAACTGCAGTGGCTGAAAGATTAAGACACTGAGCAATCGTTGTGAAGCACTAGCATTCGATTTAGGGCTGAAATTCGAAGTCCATTGGTACACAATACTGGTCCATATTAAAACAAACGTGCCTTTGAAATCGAAATTATGGGGTCCATAACTCCCTTGGCCCACAATGGCCATGACTCCCTTGGCCTGTATAGAGGTCAGGGAACTGGCCTTGCTTCGGAAAGGTTCTGGGTTCGAATTCCGGGAAAGGCATTGATGTTCTCTCCTTCTCTGTATTATCTGTTCTTACTGTGGGAGCAACCAGAAAGAGTGGCCAACAAATTTGTCCTTCAGATGCCTTCATGACGAAAGGTCATTCTCCAGGTGGGCATTATATAAAAAAAAATTTCAATATATTAAGGTTAGAAACTTTAAATATCTTGTACATTTAGCACATGCACAAATGTAGTTAAGCTATTAAAAATAATGTTTTTTTTTATTTTCAATAGAAATTTGATTCAAGATCTGTTTCCGAAAATTACCCTCAGAACTGAAGGAATTGATTTAATTGGTGTAAGAGAGCTGTCAAAGTCTTCAGCTTTTATAGATTTTGTCACAGTTTCTGTCATAAATATCCTGGAACCAGGCTCAGAATTAACAATTAAAGATCGGGTACAAGTGAAAACCAAATCTGCTACTCCCTATGCTTATGGAGCACTGGATTGTATTCTAATTTACCTCTCTTGCAGAAAATTTAAGTATGGAGTCAGTAATAAGAATTCCGCATTGCTTAGAAACTTAGCTGAACGTGCTGAATCACGCTTGCGAGAAATAAACAGTTTCATGCTAAGATATGTATCAAGAAGACTAGCTGATTTTTGAAAAAAACTACTCATTCTAAAATTGTCATTGTATATATATATATATATATATATATAACACGAAAGAAACGAAACTGGCTCTGAGAGTTCAATGCAGATCAAGCTATGAATGATCTNTGTACTGTAATTATTTTTTTTTACTATAGTGGGAATATTTAAAATTATGCTGGTGTTTCATAATGACCATCCTGAATATATACATATTGAGAAGAAAAAGTATGGTCAAAATTCTATGATCCATGGGAACACCAAAACGATATATAATTCTTATCGAAGTGCTTCTGCAATGATTTTGGTAGAATTAGCAATAAAACATGGTTTAATAATGTGTGATAAAATTTTGCAAATGTGGTAAAATATGATAGTTTTGGTGTGATACCTTAGATCATGGCATAAAAACCATTTATTCTGTTAAATTTAGTCTTCAGTTTTGTATTTTTACTAAATGTGTGATAATAAAATATAAAATTTTGAAAACCAGAATTTCCAGTAAATCGTTGTATTATGAGCGGACAAATTACCAAAAGAACAGCCGAAATACCGTATTTTTTGGTTTTATTAACCATAATTATGGTTTTTTTTTACAAGAAATGTCATTACCATGCAGCATGACAATTTTACCAGAATTTTTTTATGTATGTAAATAAAATCACTATATCTTTAGTCTTTTCTAAAAATACGAATTATTTTAAAATAATTTGTTAAATGAAGAATTTTTTTTACCATGAAATTACTATTTCCTTCGGTAATTTCTAAACAAAAATTTTTTTAAACATTTTTCCTGAAGGAAGAATTTTGTTTTTTGACCGGAAATGGCATTGAATGGTGTTTCTTCTGAAAAAATTTGAATTATTGCTCCATTAATTTTGTTTTTTAGTACATGGCTTATTTTCTTGTTTCAATTGGAAAATATTATCACAACCATCATTGACGTAAATGGTGACGTAATGGTGATTGCTTACGCTTCTCTTAAGTGAATTAGTATAATTTCTGCACAAGTTTTGCTTTTTAATACGTTGCTTATTTTTGTCAACTTTAATTGGTTCCGATAATCAAAATTAATCAAGTATCAGTACGTTAATAATAGTATGATGAATTTTTACTCCTCCATTTCTCCATTAATTTTGCTGCCTTTTTTTTCAATTACAAATTATTTAAAATTTTTGACTTTAATAAAAATACTTTTTAAAAGTATAACTATGAACAAAAAAAAAACACGTGCTTTCTAATAATTCTAGAAATGTTAATTTGGGGACGTAATTCACCTATCCTTACCCATTCCAGTTGATCATAGAGTTTATCTGATAAATCAAATAAAACACTATTAAGTATCCTGAAGCGTGCAATAAACTCCTTTTGTTGATGAGAGCTATAATCTAGTAAATATCAAAGATGTAATCTTAAAAACATTCAGAAAAGAAAAATCGTCTGCAGTTTTATTTTTATTAATGGAAAATTCTGAACCAATGTGAAAATTCCATGTGTGAAACGTCTCTCTCGAACGATTCATTTGAAGTATTTTTAGAACGGAGGGGTTGAAACGGGCAGTACAACGGGCACTGTCTTAATTTCCGGACTCTAACATAAATAGTTCTGGAGTTATAAGAGAGAAAATTATAGACAAACTCTTTATTTTAGTATTAGAGGATCACTGAAAACCTGTTCTTCATACGCAGTGAAAACGAAAAAAAAGAAAAAAATTAATACTGAAGAACACAACGAAATCATGCACAAGACTAGACATAAATCAATACAATTAAGAAGACTAAAATTAATCCTTTTTTCTATCTAAGTATCATATTTTGTACTTACCGGTGGCTTAAGCATTTAAGAAAAAAATATTTTTAAAAGTTAATCCCATCAAAATAATAATTTACTGTATTCGGTATTATATGGAATTATATTGTTGCTTGAAACCAACTCATTTTAGTAGAAATCAATCACTATCAAGCGATTTTCCCCAGTATTTATCCCTTTCAAGGGATCGTAAAAAACCTCTCTCCACAGTATCTATATAAAAACTGCACAGTATTGCTGCAGTTATAACATTTACAAAATATATTAATATAATACATTGCCTCTATATTAGTACATTTGCTATCTATTAAAACTGCATCAATAGTGCCTATTTACAAAATCAATTAGGCATCACTTGCGTCACTAATAGTAAGTAGGTTTCTTGTAGGGGACTAGTTAAGTCTGGATATGGGCGTAAAGTGAATATAAACATTTTTAAAATAACTTTTTTTTTAATCGGTCAAATTTCCACTGTGAGGTTGGGGATTGATTGGCAACACTGTTACCCTCTTCTATGCGTAGTTGCATAATCATAATCGTATTTTAGAAGAAATTTGTAAAAGAAGGTTTTCAAGGTAAAAAAGAGAAAAACTTTCAAATTTTTCTCTTTACTTTTTTTTTAACATATATATTTTTTGAATTTCAACATAAGGTGATAATATTTTATAAACTATACTGTTTTATTTTTATCTATTTTTCTATTAATTTTGACCCTGTACAGTTTCAATTAATCAGCATTTAGCTAGCATAAACAAGCACCTGTCTTCGTAAAGCTAATGTAGATATAGAATGTAGACGTAGATATAGAAATTATGATACTCTATTCTTAAAAAAGATAGACATTGCTAATCTAATCATGCGTCCTTCTTTTTTTTTTCGAAAAGAAAGACATTTTTCAAATTTAAACTAAAAAAGAAATAGTTACCAAGCTTCGATCGCCATGAACAGATAGAATTACAAAGACTGCTCTCCAATATACATTTAAAATTGATAATCAAATTTTTTGATAAAATAGAAAAAAATTAAATATTATTCAAATCAATTAAGTTGAATAAAGATTTTCAAATGAATTGGTTTACTTTCAAAATTTCGTTCTTAATATTGTCAAAATACTCTATAATAAATTAGTATTTTAAATTAAATGTGTTAATATTTATTCTCCAATAAGGCTTACATTGATAAATTTGGCTTTAGATATAGCTTTCTGAATTAATTTATTAATAATATTTATTAGTAACTACTTAATTAATTTATTAAGTTCGCCCACACTAGCCCCAAAGCTCTAGGTGAAGCGACGAGAGGGGGCATGAGCAACCCTTTTTGAAAGCCTTATTGGACGCTGTGTACCCCCTAAAAAAACCGTACAAAATTATTTTGGATTTACTAAACTATTTTACAGTTTCAGATATAAACCAAAATACAAATAAACTTCCAAATTATAATTAAATAATTTACTTCTGACGAAAATTTTTACCTCCAATACTTATTTTATTTACTTTCCAAAACTATTGAATTTTTTTAAGTCATTGTTTTAAAAAAATACTGAACTGTAACAAATTTAAATAAAAATTAATTTGGAGCTATTCCCAAATTAACATTAATAATATAAATTAAGTTTTCTTAGTTTGCTTAATTCCTTACTTCTATATATATAAAAATCTCTTGTCACAGTTTTAGTGGTTAAACTCCTCCTAAACGGCTGGATCGATTTTGATAAAATTTTATATGTATATTCAGTAGGTATGAGAATAGGTTTATAACTAATTTTTTTTCATTTTTTGGACAGATTCAACGTATATTTTAAATATATCTTTATTTAAACTATTCCAAACCAGACATAGAAACATAATTAATCAAAAGTAATATTCACGCATATTGCAACAAGTCATATTAAACTTTAATACTTATGCTCGCCCTTAAAAGAAGAGCATCAAATATATTTGCAAGTATGTGAATAAAGGCAGTGATATGGCAGTATTTCGAGTTGAAAATACCAATGTGACTGCTCTTCCAGTGAATAACAACGACGAAATAACGCTCTACCAAATTGGCCGGTACATCAGCTCCAATTAGGCTGTTTAGCGTAACTTTGGATTCCCAATTCATGATCCAACCATTATTCATTTACCCGTCCATCTTGAAAACGGTCAGAGCGTATACTTCACGAACGAGACAGCGATTGACCGAGCTATAAATCCACCGAAAACTACACTTACCGAATTTTTTTCGAATTATGCAATCGTGCGGATGCTTTTGGTGCCTTTGCACGGACATTACTCTACTCAGAAGTACCACACTATTTCACATGGGCTCAAACAAAAAAAAATGGACACCCCGCAAGCAAGGCACACCAGTTGAAGTATGTTCCGGTTTATTCAAATCAAACGCCTTGGGGAGAGTATTTACAGTCAATCCAAGGCAGACTGAGTGCTTTTATCATCGACTGTTGTTGGTTAATGTCACCGGCTCATTGTCATTTCAAGATATACGTTAAGTCGATGGACATCAGCATCCAACGTATAAAGATGTATGCCTTACACTCTGCTTGATGGAAGACGACAACCAGTGGGTATGTATGCTTGCTGAAGCAGCATTGAACTGTACTGCAAAGCAAATTCGTCTACTATTCGCTATAGTACTAACTACATGTTTCCCGGACCGAATCGAAACTTTATGGGATAATCACAAAGATTTGATGACTGATGATGTACGGTATCACCATCGCACACGTTGCAACGATCTAACGATAGCATTCATCGATGCTATGTACAATGAAGCACTGATTGCTATTGAGGATCTTTGCATTATTATTGCCAAGTATCCATGTGCTGAAACATTCTCAAAACAATTGTTAGATATCGGTGATGGAAAAGTTACTAAGGATGAAACTGGATGCACAAAATTACCGGACGATTTCTGCACAATCATTGATTCACAGGATGCTCTCATTAACCTAATATTTCCAGATTTACACACGCAATACATTAATCATGAGTGGCTTGCAGAAAGGACGATTTTAGCAGCAAAAAGTGTGGACGTCAACGAATTGAATCTGAAGATACAACAATTATTGCCAGGTAACTAGGTGAAATATAAATCCGTTGATGCAGTTTGCGATCCTATTGAAGCTGCATATTTTCCAACAGAGTTTTTAAACTCATTGGATTTACCAGGCATACCACCGAATAATTTAGTACTTAAAGTTGGGTCTC